TCGTTTTTCTTAATAAAAATTGACGAATTATAATAAAAGCTTTTTTTTTGTAGGAATCATAATACATACAATTTTTTTCTTGAAGTTTCTTGTATTGAAATGTTTAAATAAACTAATATTACACAAAGAAAACATATTACACCGACCCCAAATAATAATTTTGAAAAGGGTAGTAAGAAGATGATGGTGTAGTGGTTTAACACACTGTCTAACCTTTCGATGGTCATGGGTTCGATCCCTGCATGATATGAGTACAAACATCTATAAACTCGCGAGTTTGTTAGTCTTAACTTTTTTTATATACCACTGAGGTGGCAAACAAGCATACGGCCCACCTGATGGTAAGCGGTTACCGTAGCCTATGAACGCTTGCAATACCAGAGTTATTACGCGTTGCCGGCCCTGTAGCCGGTGCTGTAGTCTCTTGGGAAAACCTCGGCAGGGAGCTCATTCCACAACCTGAGTGTTCGTGGGAGAAAACATCTTTGAAACCGCGTTGTAAGTGACCATTTTGTACGGTATGAGGGTGAACTCCCTGTTGATGGTGAGTCGTATGATGATAGAAAGTGGCCGCAGGCATCGTATTGAATAGCACAATCCGTTGTACAAGCGGTAGAACACGCAGAGTGAGGTAAAATCTCTCCTAAGATTTAAGGGTTCGATACCGCTTGCAAGTCTGGGATCATCGCCAATTCTAATAGCTCATCGTTGCACTGAGTCGAAACTTTAACCTTCTCTTCTAAACATTTTCACCAAATACTTCAAAAAATACAAGATTCAAATTTCAAGCGTTCCGCCTCGGCTTCGCTCGGGTAGATTGATATAAAGATCAATTAGTATTTTATATTAAAATTAATAGACAAATTTTTGATATTTTGGGTTACCTTATCATCATCATCACCATATCAGCCTTTAACTGTCCACTTCTGAATATAATGTATAGCGTATGTTATTTATTTACTTAAGAACAACCAACAAAGCATACATTTATATCTACTTAAAATACATGATAATATCGTTACATTATAAAATGCTGCCTCAATTAAAGGCCGCCACGACACGCGTATTCATAATATATTATGATTAGAAAGAAAATTTATAAAAACTACAATACTAGTTATACAATAAATATTAGACTAAAGTAATACTTTGGATTTGAAAGATTTGTACACTTATAATCTATACATATGTGCAATGATACATGTCATGTTGTTATTAAGCTGATTAAATTAAACTAAAGAATCTATACAAAGTGGATTTGAATTTGTTTAAGGTCGTGTTAATATTAATATTAATTTATTATATATATATATATATATATATATATATATATATATATATATATATATATATATATATATATATATATATATATATATATATATATATATATATATATATATATATACTTTATTGCACCATTTTAAAAACACAATAAATATGTTACTCGCTGATAATGTAATTTTTTATAGAAAGAAACCAGTTCAACAGTTTCTGAGCGTATCTATTACAAATAAATAAATAAACTTAGAAAAAATAATATCTTTTTTCTTTATTATATTAGTATAGAATTTCCAGCTATAAGCCAACAATTTATCAAAATGTCGCTCGCTTTCTTTAAGCGTTGGTGTCATTAATTATTTATTTTTGTTGTGAACACACAATATATCTTAAGTATGAGTCGAAAGAATTCTTAAAGACTTCTTAAGCTTAAAAGAGTTCTTCGAGTAGATTGTCTCGGATGGCTGGCGTCTGAAGAATAATTTTTCAACGTTACACACAAATTTTGGAGATTAGAAATGTGAGTGAATAATAAAATTTACTCACTTACATACTTAAATCGACGGCTTCGGATGCGGCTTGAGTTAATAAAGGTATAATTTAAAATCTAGTATATATATATATATATATTCTTAATATGCCATCTAGAAGTATTACTTGTCATTAGTTATCTTTATTCTGAAATCCAAGCGTACGAAGTAGCCGGCAAAAAGCTGATATAGTTGTACAAATAATAGTTTAACAGCTCTTTAATCTACTAAAAAGCTTCTAGGTAATGTAAAAATTTACATAATTTTATGCAAACCAATTTATCTCTGGGTGAAATTTTTTATGAAAAAACTTACTTAACATAAAGCACGTGGAGAGAGAAGACCATTGTAAACTCTTTTCATGTTTTTGTAGTGAACTGTGAAATAGGACATATTTTTATATGAAATTAAGTGTCGCCCACGGCTTTGCACGCGTCGTGTCGTGTTTAGAATAGAATAGAATGCAATAGAATGGAAAAGAATGGAATGGAATAGAAAATATTTATTGCCAGAAAAACACAATTATAACAAAAAAATACATACATAAGAAGTGTATCAAAAGGAACTGGCTCAGCTGATGCTGTAAATATCCCAGTGAAATGTAAACAGCTGCACTGCGCTGGTTTTCAGCCAGTCCCTCTCATAACAAAATACAACAAAAATACAAATACGGGTACACCTGCAATTGTTTTCCCAGTGATTTGATCGAAAATTCTTAGCGGATATTTACGTTATAATAATAATAATAATAATAATTCTTTAATAAGGCAACCAGGGCCCACAAAATTTTAACAATATTAATTTGCACCAACAATATAAATTATTAAATCAAATTTTAATTTACTTTTTTTTTAGATTTATAAATAAATTTTATAAAAAAACATTAACTTAACCTACTCTTTTTTTTTGTATGTTAGCCAGTATATGAATCATTCTGCAATGATTCAAATACTGGCAGTCTGGACAGTCAGCAAATATCCCCAGGATAGCATTAGAGCCGTCGCGGACCTTACGCATCAGAGATGTGCACCGCTTTCGCATAGTAGCGTAGAAACAATCAACACGCGCCTCGGCGAACATTCCCGACGCACTACAAAACCGGGACAGCCCCAACAGTACCCTAAATGCATTATTATACTGGATTCGTAGTTATGAAATTCACATATAATTCAAATTTCAGCTTTCTAGAGTTAGTAGTTTTGGTTGTGCATTAATAGTCAGTCACAAATGATTTTATAAATACAGATTAATGATTAATTGGTATTAAGTTTCATTAATCAATTCATATCAAGCCTTTAACTGTCCACTGTTGAACATAGGTCTCCCTAATAAGGTTTTGTCAGTAGTCGCCACGTTTGGCAAGTGGGTTGATAAATACCGTTTGGCTTTCGGTGATGTTTTAAGAGGGACGCTGCTGTCATCGATTGTATTAAATGAATTATGTGGTAACAGATTTTAGAAAAATATCAGCGAATTGAGAAATTCTCCTTTTTTGAAGTCGGTTGGAAAGGAACAAAAATATAATATTAGAATTTTATGTAGACCAAAAAAAGCTCCATAATAGTCGCTTGTGATTATCTTAAGTCCCTTTAATTAAATCTCCTGACTTAATCCCTCGTCAGACTTTAAAGCCTTAAATAATTTGACTGTACAGCTCTTAAAGGCTCGCTCTGTTAATTATTATTTTTATTTTTGTTGAAAATAAACCGTATGTCTTGGAATCTGGAACTCTGTCGCTGTCGCCCCGCCCTTCACACTTCGCCTAAGTATTTATATGAATTTGTAAGTGTAACTATGAAGTGGAACAAATCATATTGTTACCGCTGCTTTGCATTTGCTACAAGTGTGAACTTTAAAAAAGTAATATTTATTGGCCACTTGAGGGCAAAATAATCATTAGCAAAATTTCAAGGTGTTCTATTAGTAAAGAAGAGAAATTATCCCATTCGATTAATGGTAGAAAAAATGTTTTCGCGTGTAGCTATGTAGTTAGTATGGGGGATCAATTTTTTTTGTCATTTTTTGAATAATATTTCTTAGAGAACTAGTTACTGAACTGAACATTTTCTTAAAAAAAATACTAGTGATCAATACATTGAAATACATGGATATACAATTTCACGCTGTATACGTCAAAATGTTGTTATAATCTATTTTTCCTTTGATTTGTCCGAAAATTGTTCTATCATAAATTATTATTTTGTCAAAAAAGCCGACTTTAATCGTGACATAACCAGGTAGTCTACCATGAAATGTAATTCCAAATTTTCGGGCTCAATTTCGTGTTTTTGTTCGTACCGATATCGACCCTGTAAATGGTACTTAACAATTCGTTCATCATAAATCCTATCCTAATAATTCAGGGGAACGATATTTTAACATTTTTAATAATTTTAAATGGCATGTATTATATAATTTTAACATCAAAATTCTGTTTCGTTCGTCCCCGAAATTCCGGAAAATATTTCATGGTAGGTCCTCAGTAATTTTAGTTTAAAAACTAAATCACTGAACTGATTTGGATAGAAGTTTCCAACACTATCCAAAAATGACGGAATTATGACGTAACAAACTTAAAAAAAAATACAATCGAGACCCCTCCACCTTTTATAAGTTCATTGAAAATAATACCTCCACAATAGCAGTTGTTTTCGGTCGAAAATAATTAAAAGTATCACGTTTTGTATGTAACTGTCCAACAATTTTCATTATTGTCGCGTTGGGAATTGCTGTCGTTTAATTTCGCAGAAGGCAGAAATACGTTTTTTTATTTAAAAATCAGACAATAAAACCTTACTTTGCAATAGATAAATAAATATATATTGGATAATTGTAATAAACTCATAAAGTATTTTTAAAGTAAAAAAAAGGTTGTTCTCTCTTCATTGCTGTGCCCAACAGGTTCATATTATGGAATGCAATTAAATATAAATAAAATTTGTCATTCAATAAATAAATAAATATTATATTAAGATGGTTGAGATCACACGACACTTTTCTAGAATTCCAAAGGGAATTCCCATCGGTTTGATTGAAATATATTTCGCACCAGGGCGAAACCAGATCTGATTGCTAATAAATATTGTTAGCAGCCCGCTCCAATGGCCCTCACACCCCCAGGAGAGAGCTATAAACCTAATTTACATAAAAAAAAAAGACAACAGGCTTTCTACGTAGTAACATAGGTCATACGGACGCGGTGACAGCTGCGGACGTGTATTTTTGGTTCTCGTATTAATTTATCTTTTAAATTGTTAAAAACAAGTATATTTGGATTTCAAAAGTAATCATTCTGCTCCTTAAAGTGTAACCTTTAAAACTCTATATTCCATTATTCTGGATCTGAAATAGTTTTGATATAGTGATCAAATTAAGTTATTCTAACCGTTAAATTCTACTCGACTTAGTGACCGTGAATTGTGCTAAGTGACCTTGTGAGCTTCAATGTCAATAATTGTTCAGTAATTACTCACAACCGCACTCACTGCGCTGTATATATATTTCATAATTTCGAAAAAGTATCTTAAGTTGTCGCTGGCGCGGAGGTGCAAGCGCAAAGTGCGACATTGACGGAGGTTGCGGGTTCAAGTCTTGGAATTCATCCTTTATTTTTTTTTTTTTTTTTTTTATTATTATTGTTGTTATTTTTTTTTTTTTTACAATGTCGTCAGACAAAATACAATGTGCTGGATGCCTTAAATTAATTGAAAACAAGAGATATCTTTATTGTGGTGGATGTAATCAACACTTTGATTTGGATTGCGCAAATATATCCGAGCAGCGCTTTTATAACACCTTAACGAAGGAGCATAGAGATGCGTGGCGGTGTGTGATGTGTAAAAGCAGGCAACCTAAATTCGACAATACGAATACTCCTGTTCGAGCAGCAGTAGATGGTGTTACTGTGCAGCGCGGAGGAGCAGTTCCGGGCTCACCCTTGCATATGGATATTTCTCTGGCAGAGCAGTCAATATTAAATGATACCACTCTAAATACCACCAGCGAAATAACGGATATACAAGCGCTTACTATGGAGATACGTCTTTTTAGAGATGAAATGAAGTCGACACGGGCTCAGTTAAAAACTTTAAATGAGACATTGACTGCAATCTCGAGTAGAGTTAGTGCATGCGAGAGTCGTATGGATAAGATAGACGAATGCATTAATAGCTTGGAGAATCGGATGGGCAATATGTCCGGTGTGCAGCAATGTGACACATCACTTCTCGCTTCTATTAACGAGTTAAAAATGGACATCAACGATAGAGATCAAGATCTTTTATTGAACGATATAGAAATATCTTGTATTTCGGAGCAAAAAGAGGAAAGCCTGTCGCATGTTGTTACGACTCTCGCTGTTAAGCTGGGTGTTAATTTGTCCGATCAGGACATAGTGAGTGCGAGACGTGTGGGACGCATGGCAGAGTCTCTAGAAGTGAGTTCGGAGCGCCCTCGTCCTATTGTGGTACGACTGGCGCGCCGTGCTATCCGTGATCAGCTGCTACAGGCTGCGCGGGTACGCCGCGGTGCCACCACGGAAGGAACGGGACTGCCAGGCGTACCGCGCCGCTTTTATTTAAATGAGAGGTTGACAAAGGTTAACAGACAACTATTTCGACGCGCACGGACTTTTTGTAATCAGTATAAATGGCGCTACGTGTGGACAAAGGAAGGCAGGATATATGTGCGGCAATATCACGATAGAGATTCTCCACGTTTGCGTTTGCGGACGGACGATGATTTTGTTCGAGTTTTTGGTCCGGAAGCGGTTCGTTCTATTTTTTAAATCTCTACGTTACACATATTTAGTACACTGCTGTAATTACATTTTCTTCGAAATTTCTAAAAATGTAAAAAAAACATTATTATTTGTTTATAATCTATATTTTATTGTTATCAGTGTACAAAAGCTTGAGGTAGTGTTAGTTTTATTTCTTTTTTATGGTATTTTGTTACATTTATTGCATGCTTTAGTCAATTTTTTTACAATTTTGGAGTATATTTATTTATTGTTTAATAGCTTGAGTGGTTTTCTATATATTTTCCTTTTATATACACATTGTACGGCTACTCCGCTATTTACATATAAAAGTAGGGTGAACCAGTGTGTCGCAGTGATAATATTCTATGATCTTGAACCGTTTGTATCGATACTACACATATACCGATTATTGTTTTTTTACACCTTTTACTTATATTTTAATAACTTACTATTTTCTTTTGTTTGCAATTATTTTGAAGTATGTGTTGTGTCTATTTATCTACTACTATATATTACATTAATTAATACAAATTTACCAAAAATATATTTACAAATGTACAATTATGACTTATATATATATGCATGTGTATATGCGATGCCATGATGATGAAAAGTCAATTTTTTAAGTTAGCGCTATATAATGCGGGATCGTTGAACACGGGTCATGATGATTTCCTTATTGCAATGAATCGTTTCGAACCGGATATTGTGGCGATAAACGAGACATGGTTGCCGGCAGGCCAGGAGGCGCGTGCCCCCACGGTGCCAGGGTACCGGCTAAGGAACACGCCGCGTCCGCAGTACATGCGTGGCGGTAGAGGGGGTGGTGTAGCTTTTTATGTTAAGCAAGGCATGCGCGTGCGCTATGTAAAGCATCCCAATGGAGGTATTGAGCAGATGTGGCTATCGACAATAGTAAATGGTTATCGTGTTATTGTAGGTACGGCGTATAGACCACAGTGGTTAAACGTAGACTTATTTATTGATGCATTAACCGAATCGGTAACATATTTTTCAAACTATGATCACGTTGTGCTGCTAGGTGATTTTAATATCAATTTACTCGATAGTTCGAATAACAGTGTAATTAAATTCAACCAATTTTTAAGCTGTATGGATCTTAAACAGATAGTGAATGAACCGACACATTTTTCAGTTGGTTCCGATACTTTAATTGATCTTGTATGTACAAATTGTAGAATCCGTGACATTTCTGTCACAAATATTACTGGTTCACTTGGTCACGCGATGATAAATGTTACTCTCACATTAAGGAAATCTAAAATTCCACCTAGATCCGTGACATATAGACCCATAAAAAATATAGACATAAATAAATTTAATGAGGACCTTCTTACACATGATTGGGCGTCTGTTTCGTGTATGAGCACGGTTGATGATATGGTTGATAGATTTAATACGCTTATTATGTCCCTTTTCGACAGGCATGCTCCAATAATAACGAGAAAATTCAAACGTCATCAGTCACTTCCTTGGATAACTGATACAATTAAGTGCATGATTGACTTACGCAACAAAGCACATAATAAATATCGTAAGTCTAAATTGGAGAGGGACAAAAAATATTATAAAGACCTCAAAAATACAGTGTCTATGAGTATTGCTGCTGAGAAGAAAGCCTATTATAATCATTATATTAACTCTAATACGAGTAATAGTAAAGTGTTTTGGAAGAATTTGAGGGAAAGAATATTAATAGATCCTTGTAAAAGTGATTATCTTCCTGACAGCTTTAACGACCCTAATAATATTAATAAATATTTTCTAAAAGTGCCCGGACCTGAAACGGTCCCTATTTCACAGTTAACCTATTTTGAATTTCATCGGTTTAATGCAACGACGCCTAGTTTTAGATTGGAACCTATCAGTTCAAATGATGTTGCCAAGTATATTTTGTCCATACAATCAAACGCAATTGGGACTGATGGTATTAGTCGGGACATGGTTTTGCTTACCCTACCACATACTCTCTCTATTATTACTGATATAATTAACAAATCAATTGTAACAGGTGTGGTTCCTCATCAGTGGAAAAAGGCATTAATTACTCCTCTTCCTAAAGTTGACCATCCAAAGGAATTTAAAGATCTGAGACCTATTAGTATATTGCCTTTTTTATCTAAAATCTTGGAAAAAGCCATATACTTTCAATTATTAAAATACATTGAAGTCAACAAGATACTGCCGCTTTTCCAGTCGGGGTTTCGAAAGGGCAGAGGCACTGTCACAACATTGCTTGATGTGACAGACAACATATTGGCTGCTCAAGATGATGGTCAAGGCTCTATATTGACTTTACTTGATTTTTCCCGCGCATTTGATAGTCTCAATATTTCATTGTTACTCTCTAAATTGTCATATTATGGGTTTGATCATCACTCGATTAATTGGTTTAAGAGTTATTTAGGAGAGCGATTTCAGGCGGTTAAATTGCTGAAGGATGATGGTACTTGTATGATATCTTCCCCCAGGTTGGTGAAGCGTGGAGTTCCTCAAGGATCTATACTGGGCCCACTTCTATTTATTATATACAGTGCCGACCTCCCTAATGTTATTAAGAACTGTAACTATCATTGTTATGCGGACGATGTACAACTGTATATATCTAGAAATCAAATTGGGATATCTAATGCCGTTCAGAAAATGAATGAAGATTTAGATCGCATCGCTGCATGGTCTAATAATAATGCTCTTGTTCTTAATCCTTTAAAATCAAAATATATGGTAATTGGCTCGAAAAATCAAATTGAGAAGGCATCGAACAATAGTCTAGTTGTAAAGATCGGTGATACAAATATTGAACATGTTTGCGAGGCAAAGAACCTTGGTGTGCTTTTTGACAGTAATTTGCGTTTTGAAAACCATGTGTTGGGTTTGGTCCGGAATTGCTTTTATCGACTTAAAATATTATACAAGATACGAAATTTGTTGTCAGAAAGATCACGAATTACACTCTGTGAATCTCTTGTGTTATCCAGATTAAATTATGGTGATCTGGTCTACGGGCCTCGTCTCCTTTCTTCATCTCGTCGAATGATACAGAGGATTCAGAATGCGTGCTGTCGCTTTTGCTTTGTTGTTTCACCTCGTAGTCACATTACACCATATTTGAATGAAGCATCTATGTTGAACATGGACTCACGTAGACGATTGCACCTTGCTGTACTTATGTTTGATCTTCTGAAATTTAAATCCCCTGAATATCTATATAAAAAACTCAAATTTCCGACTTTCAACAATTATTATGGATGTAATGTGTCTCGATCAACGCGGCCCCCGTTGGCGGTTCATAACCATAGGACAGTCGCTTTTACCGGATGTTTTCGCCACCAGGCGACTAAATGCTGGAATAACATACCCCCTCCAATGAGACTAGCTGCATCCAAATCAATTTTTAAAAAGTTGATAAAGCAACATTTATTAAATAAACAAAAATTTGGATTAGTCGCCTGGTAGCGACTGCTTTTAACATAATTACTGTGGCGAATTATTATTTATATATGTTAAATATTATGTTTAATTAGTTAATGAAATATATTATTTATGCATCATCTATATAAGTATGTATCTATATAATATAATTTTACCTTTTGCTATTAAATTGGTTACACAGGTTACACTCTGGGTTTGTTGCACGCGTCCGTGTAGCCTTGCTTCAGGTTGCAGCTGAAAATCAGTGCTTTGCTTTTAAGCAAAAGTATCACTGAGCTGTAGCCTTTTTGGGTCACTGCGACACACATGGTGAAAACATATCTCCAATATTAATTTTATGTTTTATATGTTGTTTTATATTTGAAAAATGTAAATAATGAAATTGTATCATTTTATTCATTAATTTACGTGTGTTAAATGGCTCAAATAAAGTGTTTATCTATCTATCTATCTATCTAACATTTATAGAAAGGAAAATATTTAGTCTGTGGTATAACGTACTCACTAGCAATATCTATATTTTGTAGTTACAATATATATATATATATATATATATATATATATATATATATATATGAGGTGAGTACAGTGAGGGATGACAGGTGAGGATGGACCAGGTTAATTGGTCCATCATGATGAATTCATAAAAAAAATTAACCACAACTGTTTCCAGAACTATGTGGAAATCGACCTGCTAGGGTATATTGCTAGTAATGGACCTGTTAGGTCTCATCAATCCAATCCAATATTATGTTTTGGATAACAAACTTTTAACATATTTATTATTGGAGCACTATATATTGTAACTAAAATATATAGGAATTGTTATATATTATGCACCTTTAATCAATGTCCTGGATTGAAATACCGATATTATCCATCCCTAGTATTTACTGTAATTATTTAAGTAATTTGATTACATTCCCTTTATTATTAGATCTTTTTTTTATTTGAATTGGAAACTATTTTCTTCTGATATAAATATATATATGTACATATTATTTACAAATTAGAAACTATTAATGAAAATTAATAAATCGTCATGTGGTCCCGGCGTAAAATGAGCCATCCCTTCCTTTCCTGTGGGTGTCGTAAGAGGTGACTAAGGGAACTTAATGGTCAAGGGATAGTTACTTAATGGGACCCCCCTCCCCCCCTTATGGGAGAAGGCTTATGTTCAGTAGTGTCTAGTTAACGATTTTGAGAACGAAAACATTTTTTATGGCTGCTTATATATATATATATATGTATATTATATCGTCTTCATTTTTCAACTTAACCTTACATTTTTCCCACATATTTAGCAATGATTTTGTATTTTGGTATCCCGATTTACGCACACATGGATAAAATAATTGACCTCTTTTTGCCGAATCCTTTATAAGAAGACACTCCATCTATACAATCTAAGCTTGTAAAGTATTATGTATATAGATATATATGAGAGAGGGTTTTAATCATTACACATCAGGGAACTGTGACCGCCCAATCCTTGTTCTAATTTCCTTACCCAACTATTGAAATGGGGTTTTTGTTCCAGGACAATCCATCAATTTGCTTGAGATGCGGTTTAATGTGACTACTGATGACTCCCGACAGTGAGGTCCAGTGTGATAGTGAAGTGAGTACAAAATTGTGAAGAAAACTGTCAAGATGGCCGACCCGGACGCATTCGATGATGAGGTAACTTTATCATTTTACAAGCTTTCGTCTCATTTTTGTCGTAGTTTCAGTCATCAATTGTCTATTGTTGAACATACAAGTAGGCGTCCTCTATAGATTGCTATAAGAAATGAATTCAAGTTACAATTATAACCGACTTCAAAAAAGAGGGATTCTACATTCGGTTGTATTTTTTTATGTTTGTTATCTCATAATTTCGTTAGTTATAAATAGCTACTTACTTTCTTTAAGATTAAGATTTTTTTGAAGTAATGTGCTTATATAAACTTTGGACTATTACATTAATTAAATTTACAATTTTTTAAATAGTCTGATTTTGTATTTATGTTTTGTTTTACATAACACTTGTGTCAGTATGTTCTCATCAAACTAAAAACCTCATTTTCTTTATGTTTGTTACCTCGTAACTCCGTCAGTTTTGAACTGATTTGGCAAATTCTTATTTTATCTGAAAGGGTTACACGCATCCATAGGTTACGTTAACCCCGTTTACCATCAGACGGGTAGTATGGTTGTTTACTATCATAGTTGTATAAAAAAATATACTTACAGATTGGCTCCATAGAAATTTTATTAAAATCTGTTCAGTAGTTTAGTTTTTAGATCAAAATAACTAGTTTTGTCACAATTGGAATAGGTTTTTATTTTTTTGCGGGAAACAATCTTACTTTTTGTGATGTAGAAAAAATGTTGAATCTCCTAAATAACAATTTGTGTCCAGCTGTCAAAGTAGTATAGAAAACTTAAAAAAAGTGTTTTCGACCGACTTCAAAGTGAATGATGTTTTCAATTCGGTTGTATTTATTACGACGACGGTTACCACTTTCCATCAGGTGAGCCGTCAGCTTGTTTGTCATTTTAAGTTGCATAAAAAAACAAACTTTACTAGTGGGTTAAAAGCGTATAAGAATACATCATATACAAAAAGCATCTTTCATAAAGTCGATATAAAAGAACAACATAATATAAATACGGTCTGAAAGCCAAGAGAAAATAACAAATAAGAGTGAAAATGTAACGGCTTCAAAACATTCGAGAAATACAACGAAAAATATGAAATAAATTTCACGTTTGTAACAAAACGTTCAAATAAATATCGAGTCTCGTGATTTGCATATTCGGCGCGTAAATCGGTTTTCGTTCGACTATTATTTTTTACTTGTATGCAAAATTCAAGTCTGACTTACAATCACACCACGGACACTTCATACAAAAACGCCACGATCCGTGCTTGTCACAACTACAGACACAATTAACATCTGTACGTGTGAATATGTGTGCGTGTGTAGTTAGGATTAGCGCGGGAAACTAGAGTTTGTGTGGTGCTGACGCATGTTTGAGAGGGGGTTTTATGATTCTACCACCATTTCGGAAACTATTGTATAAATTATATATATATATATATATATATATATATATATATATATATATATATATATATATATATATATATATATATATATAACATTTTAATATATTCAGCTTAGATTATATAGATGCAGTGTCTCCATATAAATGCTTCTAGAAAAGCGGGTTAACTTTTTCATACAATTTTATGTGATAAATAGTTTTGAGTGATTCCTTTACAACTTTTTTATTTATTTTGTCTTATAAATTTTGCACCTTTTTAATGCGCAAATACTTATTTTATTTATTACATAAATAAATATAGATACGTCAACGTATATTGTGTGCGTAAGTATTTAGAACACTAATAAAAAAACGAGACTGCTAATTAGCTGACAAAAAGTTCTAAAACATACTGACATATATTTATAAACTAATATATAAATTTACAAACTAAAAAGTCTAGCCACAACAAAAGCAAAGAAGTCTTTAATAACGGAGCTGTTTTAAACAGTCCTCCAAAAGGTATTTCATTAATTTTCCATTAAAGTCGCAAACTATAGCGTGTGCCAACTGTAGCCCTCATAATGAGTTCGTAATTAAATCTTGGCAGTGATTTTCATCGTTATTTGATGAGTTCAGAGTTTTCCTTATATTAGAAATATATGGATTTGCTAATGCAAAAGAGAAAAACATAATAACAAATATGTTAGAGCGAGATAGAAAGGCAGGTAAATTCACGTACACAGTAAAGGCTCGAAAAGCATTGTCGGGGGTTCTGAACAAAACAAATTCGGATTCTTTTTGCCTTTTGAGATGATTTGTTAGAGCAACGTGTGCAATACTTAGATATGATATAAATCATAAAGAAAACTCACTAAATGGCTCTTACGCTTTAAACGTTAATTTATATACAAAATTTGCCAAAAAAGTAATTATTTTTAGTACAAATAAAACTGTGAATGCTTTCAAATTGAAATTAGTATAATAATAAATGTGTAATATATTAAAATTGTGTTCTACAAAATAAAAACCGACTCTAAAAGTGGTACAACCAGATGTTTTTTTAATTAAAAACTATTAAACCGATTTTGATAAAGTTTCTGTTAGACCAATCTGCAAGTATATCCGTAAATTTTTTTTTAAATAGTTATATAATAGACGGAGTTATGAATTACAAACAGAAAAAACACAACCAAACCTTTTTGTAGTCGGTTGAAAACTCGATTTATATGCTAATACAGCAGTGAATTATTTCGATGGGCAAACAAAAAAACAATGAAATAAAAAAAGAAAAGAGTAAAATTGCGAACCTCCTTTTTTGAGTAGGTCAAATAATTATTTCACCTCAACGTTTCAATGGAGAACGCGACGTGAGCAGGATTTGTTATTTCCGCAAACCTTTTGTTAATTGTATCCCTGTACAAATGGAATATAAAACCTTAGCACCGTACCAAACCGCTTTCGAATCGACAAAATTGTTAAGATTTGGTTTGTATTTGTAGTCCGTGTGATGATGTGGTGAAAATATAACGGTGTCATCATTTTTATTAAGGGGGAAAGGTATTTTTTTTTATTTAAGTAGTAATTTCTGTCTCTATCTTTGAGGCGACATCTTTATCACCGTTGGTATGTTTTTATATTATATTTATAATAAGTATAATTATTTATATTTATAATAAGTTTACTATTGTAATCTTTTGGAGGAAACAATAAAGAGTATCTATCTATCTATGTTTGTTTGTTGTTTGTACCTTTGTCCTCAGGAATGGCAACGCTTGAGGGGTATTATGGGTGAAACTATATACTCTGTTATGTTCATGGTACTGTTTATGTCTATAGGCGACGGTTACCACTCACCATCAGGCGGCCCGTCAGTTTGTTTGCCAATATAAATTGCAATAAAATAAAAGCTTAACATACAAGATACTTAAATATTAGTTTACGTAGGCGAAACTGTAGGATATAGCTAGTAAATTATGATACCGTTTTCCATATTCAAAGTTCTTTATCTTATAAGATCTGTATGTAAACAAGTATGATGCTAGTTCCTTGTCAAGCTTACGTATCTCTGACAGGAAATAGAATGACGTAATATGTCAGTCACGTAGCAGTTTAGGAGATTCGGATAGCATCCGGGGACAGATAAATTCACAAATGTGTACCCCTTATACGTTTAGTTATGAACGTGTACAGACGTCATAAAAGAGTTAATTCTGATTTTGATTGTACTTTTAAGCGGCATGATTTTTTTATTATATCCGTATTGTTCTACGATTTAGTTCTACTAGTAGGAAGAAAAGGGGGGGGGGGGGAAGGGATTGTTCGCAAGCCTCATTGCTGTGAAATCTTCGTGAACAATTCTTAATGAATTCGTCACGACAGGCTTACTGACCTGCATCATTACACCTCTCATCTCTTACTGGTGCCTCGCCAGTGTATATCGATAGCGGCGGGGTTACCACTCTACTATCACCCATTAAAAAAAAAGTAGGAGGGAAAGGACCAAAAAGTCTGTTCTGTTCTACTAATAGAACAAAACGGACTAAAATTATATTATTAGTGTTATTAGTAAGAAGGAACGGAGAGGGAAATTATATTAATTAGCCGTCGGATTATTCATTGATTTGGTTCCACTATTATTTTTTTTATAATAAACCGAGTAGCTTCAGTTTGATTATTTTAAGGAAAAGTTTTTCAATTCACCAACCACAGAGTAAATATAATATGTACAGATACAACATATTTGTTTACATGATCTTTATTTATTCTGTGGTCCAACTTTATTATTGTTGTGTGAGCGAATGATTGTTATAACAAACAATACATCACGTATAGACTTACACACGTGCCGGTGTGTGCGTACAGTTATTACTTTTAACACCAAAAAAGTGGAACGCTTTTTAATAAAAAAAAAAAATATGCATCACGCAATTGCCAATATGGCGAAATGTTTTTAGAGTTCCATACCAAAACGGTACAAAGGAACCCTTATAGTGCGACTTTGTCTATCTGTACTTACAAATATTTGCAATATTTAACATTTTTTAACATTTATTAATAATAATAATAATAATATTTTTTTTTTTTTTTTTTTTTTTTTTTTTTTTTTTTTTTTTTTTTTTTTTTGGTGAATACAATATCCATTACTGTATAGTGTATTCAAAAATATTATTGTTTATGTATTTAGAATATGTACGGAACACTCGTTCTATATTCAACTCGGACCTGACTGGTTTTTTGTAATGTTTTTCACTGTCGACGCTATATGTAGTCGACGTTAATAACAATAGAGTAATAATAATAACATAATTTCTTCACCGCTTATTGTCCAAGTTGTGTGTAACAAAAGCGTTCGTTTTCAAGGCAACACAAACCTAATGTTCCCTTAACAGGAAATGGAATTCTATAAATCTCCGCGGCTCAGTCACGTAGAGGAATGGTGAATGTAGTTTTTTGTTTGTTTGTTTTTATTTGTTTAGTTCTCTATCAATTATAGCTACCTACATGGGTACATATATAGATATACATATATTACTTTCTTTACTTCTTTCTTACTGTGTTTTATTTATTATCAATCAATCGTTAACTGTCTATTGCTTAACATAGATCTACCCCATGGGGGGAGGGGGAGATTGTTGGTAATGCGGATC